GGAGTCTGGAATGGGTCTGCCCCTGAATGCAAAGATGACTGTCTGTTTTTATCTTCCTCTTGTTCTACTTTCTCCAACCAGAAAAAAAAAACAATATCTTGATTGCTAGGCAAACCCATAAACATGAGGAAATTGAGCTAGCCATTAATCATCTAAAGATATAACTTGTGCGAAACGTGGTTGCTGTTGGAAACATAATCCTTAAAAAGTGGTTGTCTCTGCACATACACACAAGGAGGAAAAATTAAGATCTCATGGGTAACCTTAATTCTGTGGTTTCCTAACTACTGAGTGCTTTGCAAGTTTAATAACTTGTGTCTGCTGTCGGTTTTATGTAATTTCTGGGCTTTTTAAAAGAAAAAAGAGGTCTATGTGAAACTAATGTCCTGTCCTCCATCTCCATGTGTCATTGAGGTTTGACTCTTGGGCCTAAGGTACTGCAGGATAGACCTCTGTCAAGTTAAAGAAGTAATTATAATAGGTGGCAGCAGGAGTAAATTGTTATATGGACCAACCACTAGAGGAGGATGCACAACACACTAAAACAATGGATTATATATGCACGAATAACCTCATTGTACACATCGCGTAGCCAAGTATTTAGATATAGCAATTCTTTCAGTTAGGCTAAGTGGATGAGACTTGGGTCTGCCATATTAGAGATCTGGGTGCTCTTCGTACCTTGTGTAACTTTCATTCAGAGAGGATGGGTTGCTCAGTGCTAACTTGGGTTTTGAAGGGCACAGGATTGTTAACACCAGCCAGTAGAAATAATGAGAGTTGAACTCATCATCTCCTGGTTCCCAACACGGTGCACCTTCTCCTAGGCCAAAGGATATTATGATGTGAGGGATGGAGATGCATAGTTTTGAGTTGCACATGGCAACACCTTGCAGAGAATGCTCAGTGAGAGCAGCATGTTCAGGGGTTTTAGAAGTCCCTCAAGGAAGTTTTGATGAGTAACTGAAGGGAAATGACAGTTTGGGCAGTTTGTAACTCATGGTGACAGCAAGAGGCACCATACTGAGCCTTTCACATCCCTGCTGCAAACTACGGAACTGTTAGAGCTCTTAAAGAGAGAGAGAGAGAACTTTTGTAAAGGAAAGTGGTAGGCAGCTCAATGTAGGGGTTGCTATGGGCTTCCCCTAGAATATCTGAATGGGATCCTAGCAGCAGTCAGCAGGGTAGCCCAGCTGATAGTACAGGGCTCTAGCAGTGACAACGTGTAACTGGGATAAGTCTGTCTCGTCTCTAAGGATGCAGATTCCTAAACATTAGTTTGGCAAGCTCCTGACTCTGAGTGGCCAGCTGGTGATGGGAGACTGATGTAATGTTCATAACTGCTTTTTCCTCTTCTTTTTGCCTTAGTCATAATTACCCAGGACAAACCCACAACTGTCCCTCCCAAGGGAACAGAAGTAGCTGGTGCTTCCTCATGTAAATTGGAAGAACTTGGATTTGCTAAAAGTCTAGAATTTCGGGTTGAAAATCTGGCCCACTTGGAGTGTGGGTGGGAGCTGGAGAGTTGCTTAGGCTGGAGCTCGTCATGCAGTGGGGACTCAGCTACTCTGTGCTGCTAATCCAATCACTCTCTGCACCTCCACCGTTATTGTGCAGCGCGGTCGCTCTCGCTCGGAGAATTCCTGTTTAGAGAACTTGACCTAGCACAGCAGTGAAGACGCCTTTAGTTTAAAGCCCTGGCTGCAGGAAGCTTGTCTGTTCTCATAGGCTACTGGAAAACCTGAGGAACCCCCCACAACTGGGCTCACCTGGCCTGTGGCAGGTCCCTGTAGCATCTAAGGCATGTTAGGATCCTTTACAACGAAGGCAGCTGTGTGAGATTATTTAAAATAAATCACTCTCCTATTAACATGAGAGTGTGTTCTTATGTTTTTTTTGATAGCTAAGTGTGATCACCATCAAAGGCGCCGTCGTGACATCCCCCCTGATACTAATGGCAGAGAAGTGAAATACAGGTGCAGTGATGGCTCTGTTAAAAACCCTGGTAAGTCAGATACACTTTGCCTTTCAAACTCTGAGTGGTCAACCATTGGAGAGTTTTGTGGTTGTAAGTATTTTATTTTCTCTGGAACAAATCTGCTGGGGCCACCTTTCGCTGATGGAAATGTCAGACTTTCCCCCACTGAATAGGTCTACTCAAAATTAGCTTTAATAACTAGTTTGAAGTTCCTTGTTGGATCAGTGACAATATACAATTAACCTGCTTATTCAATAATCTTGTTGCAAAGCAATCTGGGAACATCTATCAGTGAGACGACTTGTGCTGGATTCAGGAATGTGCGGTTTAGATCAACAAGAATGGGAAATAATTTTATATTTGAGTTTCCACTCAGAAATAGGTGAGGATGCCTCCATCCTCGGGATGCTCATACAGCTTTCCTGCATCACCTGGCAAATATGAAATAAAGCTGTTTCAGAGATGATTTACCTGCATAGTACCACTCGTATTACAATATTTCATAAAGGTCCCAGCCAATGGGAGCTGCGGGGGTGGTGCCTGCAGGAGAGACCGGTGTGGAGCTGCTTGCGTACCTCCACCTAGGAGCCGGACCTGCTGCTGGCCACTTCCGGGGCGCAGCATGGTCCGCGGTGCCAGAACAGGCATGAACCACTGACAGGGAGCCGCCCGAGGGAAGCCTGTGCTTCAACCCCGAGCCCCAATTCCCTG